AGAGGAGGCCTGGTTAGTGGGGGAAGGAAGGGAGAGGCAGAGGGGAGTGGGGCCGAAGAGAGGACGGAAAAGGAGAGTGTGATCACGAACGCTGTGTCTGATATCTCCAAAACCTTCCCGTCAACAGGAGTGTTGCCTGACATTGAGGAGTACTTCGACATTGGGGACAGCAGCTCAGGATTACTGCAGACAGGTATGTTGTTCTGACGAAGGGTCACCAGACCCGAAACGTTAACTGTATTTTCTCCTTCACAGATGCTGCCAGACCTGCTGAGCTTTTCCAGCAACTTTGTTTTTGTTCCTGATTTACAGCATCTGCAGTTCTTTTGGTTTTTATGTTACACACTCAGTCTGTTACTCGCTCTCTATTATCTGTCACTCTACATAAACCACCCCGAGCACTTCAGTTAGCTTCCAGTCTGTAACCCACACCCAGGTATCTGTACAAATCAGGACCATACCATTCAGGAGAGATGTTAGGAGTCACTTCTATGCACAAAGGGTGGTAGATGTTTGGAGCTCTCTTCCTCCAAACAGCAGCTGATGCTAGATCAGTTGTTAATTTTAAATCTGAGAAGAGATAAAGTTTTTGTTAAGCCAAGATATTAAGGGACATGGGCCAAAGGCAGTTAGGCCGCAGAGCAGCCATAATCTCATCGAATGGTAGCTGTGATGTGGAGTAGCGGTGTTGGATGAGAGGGGACAAAGTCAGAAGTCACACGACACCAAGTTATTAGTCCAACAGGTTTCTTTGAAATCACAAGCTTTCAGAGCGCTGCTCCTTCGTAAGGTGAAGTGACCTGCTCCTGTCCTGATGATGTTGTGTGTATAAGTCTGTCCTTAACCCTGTTTGTAATTCGATCCTGGTATATGTTGCTCAACACCTTCCCCGCTCAATTTCATTGCAGTCTGTAACCCCCCCACCACGGCTGTCTCTTGTTCTGTGTGTAAACAACCCTGGACCCCTTGATGAGACTGGAGATATGGTTTGAAAGGGAGCAGCAACAGGGTGTCACAAAATAAGGTGTTTTCACGTAGCCCGCGTTCAGGTCAGAGACGCCGGGGGGTTGGAGAGGCAGGGTCTGTTCAGACTGGCAGGAGGGACCGGGATTGTGACGGGAAAAGGCAGAAGGTGCAGGCTTCCAGGGAGGACAGTGCTCAGCGTTAAGCCCTGTCGTTTTCAGCAAGCTGGCACAGGCCCGGTGGGCCAAACGGCCTCCCTCTGTGCTTGCAAGCCGGGCTGCTTCAGGTGGGAATGTGCTCTGTTGGTTGTCATATGACTCCTTCACATGAGCTTCACATGACTCGGTGACTCACCCAGTAGAGACTGAAACAGCTGAGCAAGTGTGTCTGCTGCTTCTGTGAGTATTTTGTTAACCCTTAGTGTCAGAGAGGACAAGTTTGTATTGTCTGGCTATTCGGCGCCAACGCCTCAGTCACACCACACGCATCATCCTGGCACCCCTCTGTCTTCCCCTCTTTTATTTCCCTCTTTTTTTTTCTTGCTTTGTTTTTCTCTCTACGCAGTCTGCCGCTACGCACTGCATATTGTTAGTCACTAATAGTACCCGTCAACAGCTATTGATCCTCCTAGCCAGATCATTACCAACTCCTTTGTCTGCCCAATTGCTCTTCCCTCACTTGGGGATCTTTCCCTACCTATCAATTACTCTTTACCCCCTCCCTGTACCCTATCTAACATTTTCTGAGCTACTATCAGTTCTGAGGAAGAGTCACCAGACATTAACTCTGATTTCTCTTCACAGATGCTGCCAGACTTGCTCAGTTTTTCCAGCAACTTCTGCTTTTGATCCTGATTTACGCCTCTGCAGTTCTTTCGGCTTTTGTTTTTTTTCTCTCTCTGCCTAAGTGCTGAGGGAGCGGGCACTGTCGGAGGGTCAGCGCCGAGGGGGTGCCGCGCTGTCGCAGGGGCGGCGCTGAGGGAGCGCCGCGCTGTTGGAGGGTCAGCGCCGAGGGAGCGCCGTGCTGTTGGAGGGTCGGCGCCACGGGAGCTTATAGAGTCAGAGATGTACAGCATAGAAACAGACCCTTCGGTCCATCTCGTCCATGCCAACCAGATATTCTCTATTACTGTAATCCCATTTGCCAGCATTTGGCCCATATCGCTCTAAATCCTTCCTATCCATGTCCTCATCCAGATGTCTTCTAAATGTTGTAATTGTACCAGCCTCCACCACTTCCTGTGGCAGCTCATTCCATACATGCATCACCCTCTGCTTTAAAAAATTGCCCCTTATACCCATTTTAAATTTTTCCCCTCTCACCTTAAACCTACGCTTCTCTAGTTTTGGACTCCCCGCTACACTGGGATGAAGACCTTGGCTATGCACCATATCCACGCCCCTCATCATTTTATAAACCTCTATAAAGTCACCCCCTCAGCCTCCGACACTCCAAGGAAAACAGCCCGCAGCCTCTCCCTGTAGCTCAATCCCTCCAACGTCCTTCTCCAAACCTTTTCAAGTTTCACAACATCCTTCCTCTAGCAGGGAGAGCGGGATCGAACGCAGTATTCCCAAAGTGGCTTCACTGACACAGCCGCAACATGACCCTCCGAACTCCCTACACTCAACGCACTGACCGATAAAGGCAGGTGTACCAAACACCTCTGGCACTGTCGAAACCCCTTTGAGGGGTTTCTTGTCACCTTGGCACAAGCGATGATGCCCTTGACAGGGCAACGTCACAAATAAACACAATCGGGAATTCAGGAGAAACGCCTCTCCCCTGGATTGTGGGGCACAGTGATCCTGGGTCTCACTCCTGCCGGGAGAGCTCCTGGGCTTTGTGGGGGTTGGGGGGGGTGTATGGTTTGGGCATGGATTGGCACGACGAGTGGGATTTGCTGGGGTGTTGAGACGGAGGGGTGTGGGAGCCATCTCTCACAGGGGCCGTGGACGGTACTGTTGAGCCGAAAAGAGGGACCAAAGGGAGTGGGAGGTTTTGGAGTCGGAGTCCCATTGGGAACCACCTGCCCCGTTTCCTCACGGTTCCGTCTTTCTCTCTTTCCGCGTGTAGTCTTCATCTGCTCCTACATGGTGCTGGCTCCCATCTTTGGTTACCTGGGCGACCGCTACAACAGGAAGTGGATCATGAGCGGTGGGATTCTCTTCTGGTCCGTTATCACCTTACTGAGCTCCTTCATTCCGAAAAAGGTAAGCCCCTGACTCAGGGATGGGGGGACCGCGACCCCAGGAGACCTTGTGCCTTCATCGCCCACCCCACCTCCCAAACTCTCCTTATTCCCCCATCCTAAGAGAGTGGTAGGGGCGTGGAATGCATTGCCGGAGAGGGTAGTGGAGTTGGCCTGATTAGGGGCATTTAAGCGGCTTTTAGACAGGCACATGGATGATATTATAAAGTAGGGGTGGAGGTTAGAAAGACCATAGGTTTAGGGTAAAAATTCGGCACAACATCGTGGGCCGAAGGTCCTGGACTGTGCTGTACAGTTCTATGTTCTATCCTCCCTCCCCCTGCGTCGTGTTTCCCCCCAGGACCCTCCCGATTCAGACTCACCCACTCCCTCGCTGACCCTTTCTTTTCGCTTTCACCCTCGCCCTCTGATTCCGTGTCCCCCTTCTCCCTCTGGGACAACCCTACCCCTCAATTTCCCAGACCCTGTCTTACGCCATCCCCCCTCACCCCTGCACCCTCTGCTTCTGGGTCCTGGTCTATCCAGGAGCCTGCCCCCAACCTCAAGACCCCACTGTTTCCAGCTACTGCATTCTCTGGGGGACCAGCCCTGGGCCTTCTCTTCCCCCTCCCCTCTCCCTCCCTGGGAGGCTGTAGCAATGCAAGTGAGTATATGAATCCTGCTCAAATGTTACGGGAGTTTCTGACTTGGCCGCCTTTGTCAGACAGCGTTCCAAGCTGCCCCCCCACCCCGGCTTCTCTCGTCCATCTCCTTCTTACCGTGTGCCCCCTGGTTGTTGACCCCTCTCCTTGCAAATGTGCCCTCCTGTCCTTCCTAACCAGGCCCCTCAAAATCTCTTGCACCTCTATCAGATCCTATGTCAACCTTTGCTGCCTCAAACAAGACCACCCCAGCCTGACCACTCTACGTAGGTCCAACTGTCCAGCCCAGGCAACATCCTGCTGAAACTCTTCTGCGCCCTCTGTCGCATCCCTCTTGTAATGTGGGTTCCACAACTGCACGTAATACTCAGCCTCGATTAGAATCCAGACTGTAACCCGCTTCCAGGGGCTTGTTATTCTGTATATAAACCACCCCGAACCCCTCGATCAGATTCCAGTCTGTAACTCCCTCCCGGGGTATCTGTTATTTTGTATATAAACCACCCCGAACCCCTCGAGTGGATTCCAGTCCTGGCTATCCATTATTCTTTTTAGAAATGTACACATGCCTGTGGCCTAACCAGCATCACCTCCCTGCTCGTAAGGCCTTACAGCTCAGCTAATAATGGCAAGTATCCAATATGCTTGCCTTTCCTTGTCCTTGTGCCTTCAGGGATGGTGTGGGTGTGTATCGCAGTGTCCCTCTGACCTTCCGTACTCTCCAGGGCTCTAACCCTCGCGTTGTCATTTCTTGCCCTGTTGGCCCTCCCCGACTGCATGACTCCCACCCTTCCCTGGGTTGAAAATTCCACTCACCCTCTGCTCTGCCCAGCCTTCCAGCCTGCTGGCAGTCCGTTTTACAGTCGCCCTCCTCGTCACAGTTTACCATCCTGTTGATTTCTGCGTCGTTACAGACTTCTTGATCATAACCCCACATTTGAGTTTGAGTTATTAACATACGCCTCAAGCAGCAAAAGCCCAAGCTCTGGGCCCAGCGAGACTCCACCGGAAACTTAATTCCGGTCTCGAAAGACAATGATCGACCCTCGCCCGTTGCTTCCTGCCCCTCCGGTCTGGCGTGCTACTGTGCCTTGTGTCCTCAGGGCTCGTTCTTGCTTGATCAGCCTGCTGTGAGGGACCTTGCCAAAAAGCCTTTCTAAAGACCACAGAAACCAAATCGAGCACATTCCCCTTGCTCTGGTACTGCTGGTTACCACTTCGAAATAATTCGATCGAATCGTTCAAACACTGACTTCCCCCAGACAGATCCGCGCAGATTCTTTCTGGTTAAGTGCGGGTATGATTCTATCCCTCGGAATTCTTTCTGATACCTCCATCCCCACCCTGAGGTTAGACTGACCGGTCTGCAATTTCCTGGTCTGTCACTTCCTCGATTTCTTCGGGTTATTACGGGGCTCTGCCCCTCTACTCCTGTGACACCTCAGATGTGGCCAAAGAGTATTTGAGAATTACTGTCAGAGCCCTTGATATCTCCATCCTCACCCGCCCTTGACAGCCTGGGATACATCTCAAGAAGGGTTTATCCACTTTTAAGGCTGTTACACCTGCTCATGCCTCTTCTCTCTCTCTACATTAATTCATTTTAATACTTCACGGACTTCTACCCTGAGCTCTGTTATTCTTTAGCGTTATAATTATTTCTTGAAGGCTGGTAGTGCAGACTTGAAGGATCTGTTCTTTATCGCATGATTATGTCCGCGTTTTCAAATTCCCCCCACACACCTTATCTCTATGGTCTCTAATAGGCCCTGCCCTTTGCCTAGTTGTTCTCTTCTTGTTTATAGGTTTAGGTTTTCCTTTATTTTACAAACGTTCTCTCATAAACTCAGCTTTCCCAAATTCCTTTTCGAGCTCCTGCAACCACGCCCTCACCACCCACCCACCCCGCCATTTGTTTTATATTCCTCCTGGGACTCTGCTGCGTGAGCCATCTGTAACTGCCATGGAGTCATACAGCACAGAAACGCGCCCTTCAGCCCATTATGCCTATGCCGACCAACAAACGCCAAACTACATTAATCCCATTTACCTGCGCGTGCTCCATTGCCTGCTCTGCCCTGGCATGTTCTTCGTCCTGACCTTTGTGTCCCTTGACAACAAGGGTTCTCCACTTTTGTCTTTACAGAAACATACTTGCTCTGCGCTCTCTCTGTTTCCTCCTTCAATACCGCCCACCGCTCTGACGCAGTTTGATCTGCAAGTAGTTGCTCCCAGCCCACTTCGACCAAATGGGATCTTACCATGGTCATACTCCCAGTTTAGAGCTTCCGTTACACGCCCCCGGCCCACCCTTCCCCTTTTCCATAACTGTCCCAAATCCGACTGAGTTACGACTGCTATCTCGCAGGCGCTCCCCAGCTGATGCATCTTTGACCTGCCCAGGCTCATTTACAAATCTCAGCTCCAGAGCTGACCCCTCCCTGGTTGGGCTTTCAACGTACTTCCTGAAACAAAATAATTTGCCTGGTTACGACGGAAAAATTGTGTTCCCAACCTACCTTGCACACTAATACGGTCCCAGATAAGGTGTGGGTAATGAAAATCCTCTACCATTACTGCTGTGGTATACTTGTCTGAAATTTGATGCCCTGTTTGATCTGCTCTATCCCCCTGTTTGAAAGCTGATCAACAGGGTGTTTGCCCCTTTGTTTTGCACCACGAACCATTCAATCAATATATCATCTCCCCCCTTACTGCTAGAATTTTACAGGACAGAGGGAGGCTGTTCAATCCACCGTATCTGTCCCGGCTCCTGAAAGAGCTACCCAGCTAGTCCCACTCTCCAGCCCTACCTCATCTCTTTCAAATATATATCTTGCTCTCTTGTTGAAATCTATGGGATCAGCTTCCGTCACTCTCCCAGGAAGCACATTTCAAATCCTAACAGCTCTCTGCGTAAAGAAGTTTCTCCTCGTCTCATTCCTGGCTGTCTTGCTGACAGTGTTAAAATTGCGACCACCTAGTTGTTGACATACCAGCTAGTGGAAACAGAATATCCTCTTTACCCTGTCAGAAGCGTTCATAATTTTGAACACCTCAATGAGATTGCCGCTTAATCTTCTCTGCTCCAAGGAGAATGAGATTAATTTCCCTGATCTTTGCCTGTACCTAAAATCCCCCGTTCCTGGCGTCAGTAAATCTCCATAGCACTACGTTCAGGGCTTTAATGTCTCTCCGTAAGTAACATGCCAGGAACTGAGTGCGATCAATATTGCAACACAGCTCCTATCTATTCGCCAATCACGTCTTGAAGCCAAGTCTATGTCATTGACGTGATAGCACGTGCCCACCTGTGCCCTTGTCTTGTCTCGTTCCCCAGGCCCCAGTACTTGCCACTTCCTTCTTTTCGGTCGGTACTATGTTTCCTTTGACTCCCGGCGTCCCTCGCTCGCATTTTAACGCCCGAATCTGTCGCCGATTTGCTCCGGCCAGGTTAATCCCTCACGATGCCGCCTCATTGTGGGTCAACCATGCCCACAGTTGCTCCCCACCCCCTACCCCCCTGTTGAGGGGTGGACATGTATGACCTGACATGTTGATGTTGTGGTGGGAGTGGGGTGGCGTGCGTGTGTGTCTCTCTCTCTCTCTCTCTCTCTCCACCCCCCATCTCCCTCGCCTCTTCTTTGCCTCCCGTAGTTTTTCTGGGCGCTGCTCTTCACCCGTGGGCTGGTGGGGATCGGAGAAGCCAGCTACTCCACCATTGCCCCCACCGTCATCGCTGACCTGTTCGTGGGAGACCTCCGCAGCCGTATGCTCTCGATATTCTACTTCGCCATCCCCGTGGGCAGGTAGGAGTCTGTCAGATTCAGTGTGGGCGCGTGGATGGGGAGGGGGCTTCACTCTCTATCAGTCTCTGTGTGAGGGAGGGGGCTTTACTCTGTATCAATCTCTGTGTGAGGGGGAGAGGGGGCTTTACTCTGTATCGGTCTCTGTGTGAGGGGGAGAGGGGGCTTTTCTCTGTATCGGTCTCTGTGTGAGGGGGAGAGGGGGCTTTACTCTGTATCAGTCTCACTGTGTGAGGGGGAGAGGGCGCTTTACTGTGTATCAGT